TTTCCGGGATTTTATATGTTGGACAATTTATGGAAATTAGCGACCCCCCCAAAAATAGAAATAAAAGTAAAAATAAAAATAAAAGTAAAAGTAAAAGCTGTTCCGCCGCCACTATACCACAACAAATTATTCATTTTCCAAACATTAATGTTTCACTTTCCAAATTAGTTTTGTCAGCCTGCCTTATTGTATTTCAGTGCTAAACTATGCTCTGATTTTCTAAACTTGACGAAAACCTGGTTTCATTATTGAAATATACATTCATAAATTATGAAAAATTTTAAAAAGTACGTCGTGGAAAATAAGCTAGATTTTCACTTCAAGAAATATTTCGACGACGAAATATTATATACAGGATATTAGACGGTTAGGCGATATGGATTTTATGTTCGAGTGGCAAAACAATATCTCACGAGTGAGCGCAGCGAACGAGTGAAATATTGTTTTTGACACGAAAACATAAATCCCATATCTTCAGTCGCAACCGTCTAGTAATGTCGTAGTTACTAAAACATGGAACGACCCACTACGACCCACAACGATCCACAACGACCCACAACGACCCACTACGACCCACAACGATCCACAACGACCCACTACGACCCCACTACGACCCACTACGACCCCACAACGACCCCACAACGACCCCACAACGACCCCACAACAACCCACAACGATCCACAACGACCCACAACGACCCCACAACGAGCCACGACGGTCGTTGTGGATCGTTGTGGGGTCGTAGTGGGTCGTTCCATGTTTTAATAACTACGCGTTTCGGGGTCGTAGTGGGTCGTTGTGGGGTCGTAGTGGGTCGTTGTGGATCGTTGTGGGTCGTTGTGGGTCGTTGCGGGGTCGTTGTGGGTCGTTGTGGATCGTTGTGGGTCGTAGTGTGTCGTAGTGGGTCGTTGTGGATCGTTGTGGGTCGTTGTGGGTCGTTGCGGGGTCGTTGTGGGTCGTTGTAGATCGTAGTGGGTCGTTGCGGGGTCGTAGTGGGTCGTAGTGGGTCGTTGTGGATCGTTGTAGGTCGTAGTGGGTCGTTGTAGGGTCGTTGTGGGTCGTTCCATGTTTTAGTAACTACGCTAGTAATGTTCTGTTTATCATGATATGGACTTATTCAGAGTGACAACAAGAAAATATTTCTTTAAAAAAAGAAATAATGTTTCGTTCCAATATAATTATAGAAATACCAGACGTCTGTAATTAGCGGTTGTGACCATAGATTACTTGTATATGTCGAGCAATGAAATTGGTTCATTTTGTGAGGCGGGCGGGTTCTGGTAAAGTTTTTTGCACGTATTAGTAATTAGTATAAATTTTCATTACCTGGAGGGGGCGAGCGGGCCAGAAATACAGCAGGGCCCGCGGAGCGTATTAGAGAGTGGGGGGGCTAAATCATCAATAAAACCCCCAAGGAAAATGTTCAATTTTCTATTACCTTAAACGCTATTTCCTGCATTTTTGGAGGAACTTTAGCAAAAAATCTCCAAGACCATCGTCATAAAAAGTAACAAAATTTAGACCTTTTGCAAACTTAAGTAAAAATAGTAAAAATAAAGTAAAAATAAAGGCAGTTTCAACTCCATTGCGGAAACTTTGCAAAAACCATATGAATATAAATAATAATTTCGTTTCGGAGCACGTGGCTGTGTTGAAGGGAACTTCATGTAAGGTACACATAATGGGGTGCTTAGCCTTTATTCATTTTAATTAGATGCGAAAGTTAAAAATGCCTAGAAAAGGTTTAATTAATTTAGAAAGTTTCATTTAGATTTCTATTTTAATAATTTTGGCTGTCAAAAAAAGTGGGGGGGCTAAAGCCCCCCCAGCCCCCCCGTCTCCGCGGTCCCTGTACAGTAGTAGTATTTAAAATGAAGAAAAACAAAGAAAACTATATAATAAATATATACCGCTGTTGGCGCTTGAATACTTCAAATATAAATCATCGTGCCTGTAGATTTAACCAGAAGTTGAGGCCCTAATATTTTGGTTGGTTGCAAGTTCACATACTAACAGCAGTTTTAAAAATAGCTCGGTCAAGGGCTCAAGGGGACAATAATAATATAAAGGTCAAACGCACGTAACAAATCCATTATCGATTTCTTCGAATTTCTTTTCTTTTATGCTTTATGGCAGAAAATAAATCAAACAAATAGTATTTTGAAAGGTCTTTATCAAAATCTTTGACGAATTTTGGACACACGACGCTGAAAGAACAGCCAAACTAGTCATCTATTCGAAAGCTTGTTGTTGACAGCCAAGATGTTCTGCCAACTGGCTTCGCCGGCAAAAGTCTTATTTTTAATATCAGGTCCTCCCGGCGTTGTTTTCTGAGCTACATCGCCTTCTTCGTCGTACGATTGAGAATTTTATTGTTGCTGTTGTTAGCCCGTTAGAGTATATCCCTGGTATATCCGCGTCCAGCAAGTTGAGACGTTGAGAAAGCTTGGCAGTCAAGCTATACACAGAACTGACTATTAAATTGAATCTTTGTTTGCTGTTCGGTTAAATAGAGAAACTGACTCTTAATTATATAAAAGTACCTTGAATTTTTAAGTTTAATTAAAAAGCAAAATGCACACTCTGCGGACATGTTCATGAGAATATAAATCTTTTGTGTAACGAAATCTACAACACTTATCAATCATATTGCAGGCTGTGTCTAAAAATAACATGTGCCCTGGGACACACGGAACCGGAAGTGCAAGAAAACTTGCAGTAGTTTCTTTGCCCAGCGAAAACTGCTCAACTTCTGCGACATAGCAGTTCTATGAGAAGCCAATCAGATCTCTTCCTTTAGTCGTCTATCCCAGAGCCTAATTTTCAACGAGTGACCGAGTGAAAATGGCTCTGGGGACGAGAATGAGGTTGATGTATAATTAACTAAGATTTCCGATTATACGCCACGCCTCCAAAAAACTTCTTATGCTAGGAGCGGTCATCTCATTGGACGATTCTAAATGTAATTGACGTTTCAGCAAGAATACTGGCAAAGGATTGGATAACTTTGATCTCTGATGTCACTTTCCTGTGATATTGCTCGAAACCAAATACAAAAACAACCAAATATATACGAAACAAAAATACACGGAAAGACGACTGTCGACCTGTAAATAAAGCCGTTAGCATTATAAAAGCGATATTTTTAAAATTATCGTGCAAACATGAAACTAGAATAAATTTTACTTATCTCAAGATGTCTTTAAATGTTTTCGTTTTATTTCCAACGTTAATTTCGTTTTATATACGAGCCAAAGACCATTTGTATTTTCAAAAAAACAACGAAAATGGCGGGAAATTTTCGAACTCGTATGTCACCACTCACAAGCGTGAAATACGGAGAATACGCGCATCTGGCGCGGATGTAGTGGCATATGA